TTCTGTTCAATTTTCAAATAGTAAATACACTTCATCTTCAGCATGTTTAGTGCCACTTTTGTAAGTAACCACGCCCCCGTCCAGGCCACGCCCCAGTCCAGGCCACGCCTCTTCCGCTTTTTTCATCACTCACCATTGCCATCTATGTGTATAAGAAGAGGTTTCTTCGGTTTTAAGTGAAAATCTGCTCCAATGACAGACTGTAATTTTCCATTATTAATCATGAAGGAAAAAAAGACCAAAATTGTCCTGCTGTATTGTACAAGGGTCGATAAAATTTGCATCATTTTACAGATAACTGCAAGTATCAAGAGGTGGAGAAAAAAAGTAGACATACATCCCAACATATGAAATGTATACCGTAATCTAAAAAGCAGCAACATTAGCCTGCTAGCATCAGAAAGCCGCTCAGGGCACCTTTTATGAGCACATAGGAGCAAATCGTTGGCAATTTGCATACTGTAGACTCGCTTAACGATTGTTGCTCCTTGCAAAGTTACTTTGGGAGCATGTGGAATTTCGGTTAAAATACCATACCGTATGTGGGCTTTTCGTAACGTCACTAAGTGTAAGTATATTTTACGGCCACAAGATGGGACGATTATACTGTCTTTTCATGCGAGCCTACATGTTTCCAAAATGCCAGTTTTTTTTTTTTAGGGCGTTAGATCTGGAGGCAAAGCGCTCGGAGCGTGACCGCAATTGCCGGTGGGCGTGCGGAGGTGGAAAAATTTCAGAGCAGCACAACTCCAGCCGGGGAGGCTGAGGTGGCCGATCGTAGCGCCTCTTTCACAGACAGGCTTATCGGGCGTCCCGCTGGCTGCGCGAGAAAGTGGGAGTGTGTTTATTCTGCAAGGGTGGTACAGGGTGGCACCTCACTATGCGTATAAAATTGAGCACCCAATCATTTTCATGAATTGGGTGCTCAGTCTATTCGAGAGCAGGAATGAGCAGAAAAGCTCAGAGATGCATGCATGGAAGAAAGCGCCATGTTGGGGGTGTTTTTGGTGAGGGATTAGCATGGAACATGGCTACAAATTGAAAAAGTTGCTTTGGCATGATACGGACCCTTTAAGTTGCAGTTTCCCCGCTGTGTCATTTTCCCCCACATTCCCAGGACGGCAGCATTCCAGCTTATGGGGCAGACGTGCTGCGATGGTGGGTGGCCGAGTCAAACATATTTTCCGAGGTTCAGATCGGACCTTCGGCCCTAAACTCGGCCCGAGATAACATCAACAAGGTAGCGCTGCCGTTAGTTTTGCCTGGCGTTGCACTGATGACGTCTTTCCCAACCATCCAATTGCTTTCTTCTTCTTTTTCATCTCTACCAGCTCAGAAACACTCTGCGGTTCCTGCTCGGCAACGTCCACGGCTTTGACCCACGGACTCAGGCTGTGGAGGCCAAAGACATGATGTACATCGACCAGTACATGTTGCACCTGTTGCGCGAGTACAGCATGAAGGTAACAAAAACATCATCAGGACTGTTTTCAGACTTCTATATAGCTTGCTGATGAGCTGGTCATTTGAATCGGGTGTCTTGGAGGCAGGAGACATCTAAAAGAGGCAGGATAGGGGCTCCAGAGGACTGGGCTCGGGGACCCCTCTTCTAATTGTGCCGTATGTTTATTTGATGGATTTAGCGCTATTATGCTAGGTTCAGACCGGACATGAAATACCCGGTAGCGCCACGTTGCTTGCTTGTGAGTTCACCGTGCAACTACACGGGGGTTGCTTCGCATGGAGGAAGGGGATCTTCAGACGGATTGAGAAAAAAGGTTGAACTTCGCTAGCCAATCTGGTGACCGGTTTTTGTGTTCGAACTTTATAACTGTCAATAACTTAATGCACTCACCATTCTCCAAGCGCTTTTGAACTGCCCGAGAAGCTATTGGAAGCTGGCTGGGTTGGAGTTCTCATTTCTCACATTTCTCACAGCACACAAATAGACGGTGGGCAGCCTTGGCGGAGGTCTGTGCCCTCCAGCTTGAGCCTTTCCATTTGAATTGTACTTTATCCTTTTTAAAGGTGACAGATGCTTACAGCGAGTTTGACGCCGGCCGAGTCATACGCCTCCTCCAAGCCTTCATGACCAGAGACCTCTCCACCTTTTATTTCAGCATCGTCAAAGACAGGTAATGCATTTTCATAATCAGCTTACGTCACGCCCACGACTACGTTGAAGGTAAGCAAACTTGTTTTCTTCCCACTTCCTTCCAGGTTGTACTGCGATCCCGAGGACTCGTATTTTCATAATCAGCTTATGTCACGCCCATGACTACGTTGAAGGTAAGCAAACCTTTTCTTCCCGCTTCCTTCCAGGTTGTACTGCGATCCCGAGGACTCGCTGGGCCGCAGATCGTGTCAGACGGTCTTGGAGGAGATTCTGGATGGGGTGACGAGATCCATTGCCCCCATCCTGCCTCACCTGGCTGAAGACGTGTATGCTCATACACCGGGACACGGCGGTGAGTAGAACACACCGCAAACCGTTTGGCTCGGCCGAGTCGTTCACATGCCTAAAGATTCTTCATGGGGGGCCCTTGTGCAGAAGAGGAGACGCTATTTCGGAGCGGGTGGATCAAATGCAGCTCTGTGTGGAGGCGACCCGGACTGGAGGAGGCGGTGGAGGGTGCGTGCGCCATCAGGGACTCCTTTTTGTCCTCTATTCCAGGCAAAAATGCGGCCCAGTATGACCTCACCATCGCCATTGAGCCCGGGCTCTTGTTTGAGCTGATGGAGGTAAGACATGACATCATGAAAGATAAAGACAAGTTTTTTTGTTTTTTTCCAGAGAATCTGTTTGATTTCTTTTGTGAGTTTTCAGGATTATTTTCGACAAACCCCTTTCCAATGAAGTCGGGATGTTGTGTAAAACACAAATTAAAACACAATACAGTGAACCCTCGCGATAACGTGGTTCAACTTCCGTGGCTTTGCTGTTTCACGGATTTTTTTTAGTGCATTTTTTTAATGCTTTTTTTTTAAACGGTGAATTGTGTTCTGCATCCTGATTGGCGAAGGGACTGACCAACGTGAACTGTCTCCGCACCTCGTCTCTGTACAGCTTGTCAAATTTACCTTTGCAAAGTTTTGGTCTTTGGTTTCATTGTATCAATGGCGGATGCTGGTCTGTCAAGGAGGGGAAGCTCAATTTCAGCCTACGTCATAAAACGTGTCCGTTTATACGTGAATTCTACTCTCCGTTCCTTTTCAAAAAAATGAAAAGGACGCCTTCGCCATAAGATCGGTGATTGGCTCATTTCGTTGTCAATCGAAAAGAGATTCATCCTCAGACAGATCATCCAATCATCATGCAAATAATCTCAGCGTCCGGGCCAGCCCATAAACGCCCACTGTCCATAGATTCCCAGAGACGCTGAGCGTCTGATGGGCGGGACAAAACCAGCATTTATCCAGTGACTTGCCTCATTTCAATGCATTGGGACAATAAGCTCTGAACTCTCTCGACGCCCAGTGTCCGCGCTGTCGACGCTCAGCGTCCACACATTTTAAAGCACATTGAAGCTGTGGGAATGAATGAGAAGAGAGTCGCGTCGTAATCAGTAATACGAAGCTGATTCGGAACAAAGGTTGAGCGCGTTGTAGTGCATATTTAGTCAATGACATGTACACACAATTGTACGTACACACATATATTTGATCACTTACTTTTTGACATTTTAGGGGAAGCTGACCTTCCCTTGCAGTCTTAGAACAATTGCCTATATATAGTTCAGTATTGTATATTACTGTAAAAAATAAAGCTGACTACTTCACGGATTTCGCCTATCACGGGTTCTTTTTGGAACATAACCCCCGTGATAAATGAGGGTTCACTGTTCATCCATCCACCAAAGGATTTTCAAATCACGTTCAACTTACGTTTAATTGAATACACAAGAAAGACAAGATATTCAATGCTCAAACTGATTAACATCATTGATTTAATGCTCAAACTGATTAACGTCATTGATTTAATGCTCAAACTGATTAACGTCATTTTTTTTGACAAGTAAACATTAATTACGAAATTTTATGCCTGCAACATATTGCAAAAGGATGCAAGGGATAGGTGGCCAAAAAGACAAGTTAAATTGTTTTTGTGATCAATCTGTCGTCCTGTCTTATTTTATCCACACAAAGTCACTCTGGGCTTCATCTTCTAGTCTCTCCAAGAGGATCCCACCTCGACTTCCTCCCAGCTCGTTGAGCTCATGATGGCAGCCCGAGTCAACCTGAGGAGCGCGTTGCCTCGTGACCTTCCCTCTGACACCCTTGTGAGCCACGGCACATTCCTCATCAACTTGGAAGGTGAGACACCACACTGCAACCTGAGTCAAAAAATAGTTACTGACTGTACATGTACGTTGGAGGTGGCGTTATTCGAGAGGAGAGCAGCTATAGTATAGCAGCGGTGCCCACCTCCGCTGATCGATGCCCACGATGCCGACGCTACACTGCAGAGTCTCCAGACTGCCTGTGCCCACGCTGTCAGATTGTTCTCGCCAAAGCGCCGTAATGGGCCAAAACCAGCCCATCGGCTCGAAAACATCCTGCTTTTGCCCTCCCGCTGAGGAATCTGTCACCCCAGGAGCTTCCCAAAGACTTTTAACACTTTGTACTAATGATGTTGAGGTGGTTTACTGTATTTCTAATGGAATGCATTGACTGAAGAGGAGTCCATCAGGGAGCCAGTCAAACGGCTGTTTTAGTTTGGTGTATATAAACAAAGAGGATGAATTCACTACAAAAGTGTCACTATGTGATCATGTCAGGAGTATATAAGGTAAATCATGTTTGTAAATTGCACTTACATGGGGGACGAGTACATTAAAAGAAATCCAGTTATATATGTGCGTGTTTGCTGTTTGAAACTGGTGAGAATGGGCAGAACTAGCATGTGTGCTTGAACACCTCTTTATCTCTATATTTATTATAGAGGAAATGTTCTTTGCTGGGGAAAAAAGAAAATGAAAAAAAGACAAGCTCAATGCTGTAGTGCTACCTCTTTGTTTATTCTGTCCATTGGGACCAGAACTAGTAAATAAAAGGCTTTCAGGCACTGCGAGTACAGAAGTGCTTGCATATATGCACATCCATCCGTCCATTATCGCAATAGTTTATCCAGACACACCATGAAACAAGGTTCTTCCTCTTCAGACATAAGTGACGCAGACTTGAATGAAGCTAAGGATCATCAACTCAAATATTCAGGAGTATCATAAATTACTACATACAAAAATATGGGATGTTAAAAAGATTATTAACATGAAGAAGGAAATAAACCCCATGTGAAAACAAGGGAAATGTGGCCTTTGTTGACTGAACATTATTTATTTGAGGAGCTCATGATGTGTCATGTGAGTCATGTCCTAAAAAAAATTAACTGTCAATGTCCAGAGAGTCAATCAGTCTTCCGTTGTAAGGGCGTCCACGGCCTCCAAGAGGTGCAGCGCCAAGCTGTACTGGGCGTGGTTCTCCGGAAGCATCTCTATCACATGGCCCACCAGCCTGCTCGTCTGAAAGAGGGGCACCAGGGGGCAACGCAGCTCACTGGGGTCCTGTAAACCCACAGAAACATGCAGTGCTAGACAAGTCATTCATGGATGACGTTCAAATGACTATAAAATTGGCATCAACTACCATTAACCACAACTAATGAATTATTTAAGTCAAAAAAAAGGTATAATTACAATTAACCAATTATTTAAATTAAAAAAAAGGGTTAAGGAGGCAATGGACTCCTGCAGAGTTTGGCACCTGCAAGTTCACATACCGTATTTTCACAACCAGACGGCGCACTGTATTAAAAGGCGTAATGTCAGTTACGGGTGCTATTTCTGTATTACCCACATTATTAGCTGCCCTGTCCATTTTGGAGAAAGTTTAATAATTTTAAGTGCACCTTCTGGTCATGAAAATATGGTATATTCGTGGATTTTGTCTCACACACACACACACGAAAAGACGCACTGGATTATGAGGCGCACCTTCACTGAATGGCTATTTTGGAAATTTTTTTTCATACATCAGACGCTTCGTATTAAAAGGCGCAATCTACAATGCCTCCACTAGATGGTGCTACGCTCCTTCCATTCAACTCGAGAGGCATCCGTTCAACTTGAGAGGCGTTCATGACTGCCTATGAAAAATGTAAATTAACTATGACTGTACTTAAATGAAACTACGAAAATTTAAAATAATGCATCTAAACAGAAAATCAAGCGAGGAAATCACAAAATAAATTCTATATCCCCCCCTACAGAATTTATTTTGTGATTTCTTCGCTTGATTTTCTGTTTAGATGCATTATTTTCAATTTTCGTAGTTTCATTTAAGTACAGTAATAGTTAATTTACATTTTTCAGAGGCGGTCTTTAATGCCTCTCAAGTTGAACGGACGCCTCTCGAGTTGAATGGAAGGACCGTAGCACCATCTAGTGGAGGCATTGTAGATTGTTTTCAACAAACACAGGTGTGTCTTTGTCCGTCTCCTTCCCTTCTTTTCTTTCGGTCAACTCGAGAGGCGTTCATGACAGCCTCCGAATAACGCATTGGCATTTCCTTTATCGTCGTTCCAACAATACGATGAGATAAGACAAGAAAACCTTTAATAGTTTCACAATGGAGAAATTCCCACTTCACAGCAGCAAATTTATGAGAGGAAGAAGTAGAAGAACAAAATAAATAGGAGCTGCTGGAAAGGCAGCCACTCTCGCGGCGCCATATTGAAGTCACAATAACACAACAAGATGTCACTCGTAGTTATTTATTCCTCTGTTGTGTATTCACAAATGATGAAATCACAATATAAATTCTGTCGGGGGGGGGGCTATAGAATTTATTTTGTGATATCCTCGCTTACAAAGACGTACCTGTATTTGTTGAGACTGTTTTAAAAAATTAACACCACAGCTCTCCTTTTTTTGGAGCTGCAACACAAACTTATTTAATAGAGCAGCGACACAGTTCACTGAAGCAACAGCAAGTTATAACATTGAAAGCATATCTCCAGGAAGGAGCCATCTTGGAGTCGACGTATTACCGTAATGACAATACAAAAGACGCACCGGATTTTAAGGCGCTTGGTGAGCTTTTAAGAAAATTGAAGACTTTTTGGTGCGCCCTATAGTGCGGAAAATACGGTATATTTAGCGATTTATTTCAGTAATAAAATTTATTTTCCCCAAATTACCCTTGAAAATAGTGGGAGGAATACTGCTGTGTATCCCGAGGGAATTTCAAGAGGGCCTTGGCACCACATGTTAGGACCCGCACAGATGTCAAAAGAAGAAAGTGGCAGGGTCCTCACCATAGCCTTGAGCCACGTGCACAAGGTGGGGGGCAGGCGGGCCAGTATCTCCATAGCGGGCTGCGTCTGGTCCTGATTGTGCAGCAGTGAGTAGCTCAGCCTTTGTCCTGTGATCATCAGAAGCTGAGAGCCCAGCACGTCCTTGTCTTCTACCTGCAACATCACCTAAGAGGCACAACCGTGCGTCAAGTCCAAATGTGGCCTTATGTGCTCATCAGTAAAGGTCATTAGCAGACCTACCTCCTCTGCGTGCGGGTCCAGGCCCTGGTTGTAGAGCTGGCACACCAGGTGTCGCCGCAGGATGTCGGGGGTGACCTGCAGCAGGCCTCCCAGCTCCAGACACAGCGAGGGCCACCACACGGCCTGGGGACCATTCGAGGGCAGCATGCGGGGTCCGGCACTCGAGGCGGACACGGACGGATCGTCCATACACTGCACCCAGGCGGTGAGCACCCGGAGAAGAAACTGAGGGTGTGGAAGAAAGATGAACATGTGACTGCCATGATAGACAATGATGACAAAGGGCATGAAGATAATCTTTTAGCAGCAGGCTATAGTTTGGAATTTTTCATCACTTTTTTTTCCTGCAATGCTTCCAAAGGTGCGTATGTGTGTGTTGGACTTTATTTTTATCCAATCCGAATTCAGCAATGCACTGCCATGTCAATCTAATGTGCCCTCAGAATCAGTAACACTGAGCCAACAATCAAATGTGTAAAGGAAAAAAAAAGGATTGACATCGCACTTTTCACAGAGAAGGTTCATAAAGTGTTTCACATCGTTAAAATACAATAACAGAATCAGAAAAGAGAAGTCTCACCTCCTGTCTTAATAAAACCAGTCCTGGGTCGGTGTCTCCACTTGGCAGGAGCTGAATGGTGGTCAGGTCTCGAAAGAAAGCATTCTTACCCTGGATAAATTATTTGAGTTATTTTTCAGATAAATGACTGAGTATTTTCACTGCCCATATGCATCACTTTAGCATTTTAATGAAAGAAAAAACAAAACTAATTCACACTCCAACTTTAGGACAAATTTAGGTTAGGTCACAACCAACAGAATAGAACGCTGCTGTACAAACCCAATGAGGGAGCTTGGAAGCTGAGGCTGGGAAATTAATCAAAAATGTAAACACGGTTTCAATTTTGACATGTTGCGATCTTCAAAACACGATAATGTGTAGAACAGCGTCGTGCATTTGCAAGTTCGCGACATTTGCGAAAGTAAATGGAGGGCCCGTGTATGACTCCCGCCTCCCTCACCTTACTGTCAAACAGGCTGAGGGGTTTGACCTTCAAGCTGAAAGTCAAGGCGGCGTGTAGCAGGGAGGCTAGCAGACAGTGATGCTGCACCAGGGGATAGTGAACACCTTTCTGATCGAGGGCAAGTTCAGCAATGGAGGCAGGGCCCTCGGCTCCGCACCACACCTCCTCCACGGACAACTCTGGAGGAGGAACCTCGGCTACCGCAGAATCCGCCTAGAAAGAAGCAAGGGGCGCAGAGAAAAAGGATGAATTGAGGAAAAAAAAAAAAGATGAAACAGCGATTTTGTAGCACACACGTGCAAACATGCTAACGAATAAACACAATAACATTTTCGTGGTGTTCTTACAAAACATTACTTTGGTCTGCTTTTCTACAATGCATCCGGGTTGTAGTTATAGCATTTCGTAAGTTTTGCGTAAGTTTTTTTGTACCTGTGCCCAGATTTCTGCGTCAAGACAATCCTGTCTCGGAGGTCTACAGACAAATCCTTTGACTGCATGCTTGTTTTGGGCTCTGACTAGGGCTTGGCAATTATGAAAAAAAATAATCCTTGGGAGGCTTTTATGGCCCGAGCATTCCCATATTATCGAAACGTACTGCAGCCAGAAAATTCTTGAAGTTAAATGATTATTTACTGAAAACCAAGTTCTCATATTTCCCACACTATAAGGCGCTTCAGAGTATAAGGTGCACCTTCAATGAATGGCCTATTTTAAAACAGTTTTCATATAAAGACTGCACCGCATTCTAAGGTGCATGGAATAGAAGCTACAATAATGGCTGCAGTTGTGTTTTGCATCCGTTAGGTGGAGCTACACTAAAGGAAATACAATACAATACAATACAGCTTTCTTCAGATAGAGCTTTCACAACCGCTGCAGCTGTAACAAAGCGCTTGGAATCCAGGAAGTCAGAATATTGATCCATATATAAGGTGCATCGGATTATAAGGCGTACTGTCGGCTTTTGAGAAAATTGAATCCTTTTTGGTGCACCTTATAGTGTGGAAAATACGATAAGTAGTTTGAATATTAAATATCTTGTCGTTGTATTGTCTTCAATTAAATAAAGGCTGAACATGATTTCCAAATCATCTGTTTTTATTTACGTTTAACACAATGTCCCAAGTTCAATTGGGCATTTACGTTCACAAACCTCGGGAACTTGTCATTGCACAACACTGTTCTGCACATGAATAGTTTTTCTTCATTTACAGTGTTTTTAAGATCGTAAGAAGACAAAATCGAAATCACAATGAATTTTATATGCCCATCCCTAGCTGTGACATCCACTGTCAACTGTGGGGACCTTCTATAGACAGCGGTGAGCCTTTCCCAATCATGTCCAACCGATTGAATTTACCACAGGTAGATTCCAATGAAGGTGTAAGGGACTTTTCAATGAAAATGAAAACCAAAACAGCACAAATAGGAGCTGGCAAGCGTAATTTCCGACTCATGCTTTTTGCAGACTGATGCGAGCCACCGGCCACTCTTCATGCCGTGTTGTGGAGTGGACACTGTTTACTTACAAAGTCATTGACAAAAGACAATGGGCACTGATTCTTAACCAAGAGTCCAGTCACCTCCATGAGGACCTGCAGCAGCTGGACACAGCATCCCAAAAAGGAGGTCATAGCTTTGTCTCCCATTCCAACATCCTTCAAACAAAACAAAATCCATCAGAATCAATCTTTGGAGAAAGTGAGTGATTTAGAACGTTTTGAAGACACTTACCCGTCGGCACAGGCGATCTTTGGGTGCTTTTCCCACCTGGAAATAACGAGATGAAACATTCCGGTCCGGGGAAAAGATCTCTTTGTTATTGCGAGGGAACTGCTTACCTTCTCAATGAGGAAGGCTGCTGCCGAGAAGCGTTTGACAATAAACGTACTCCACATCATCGTGCAAATACCTGTGAAAACGATGAGAAGGTTTCACAGAGAAAGAAACTGATTGCACTTGTCCCAATGGCCAATGCTCAAAATACAAACAGCATTTACAATTCATTGTAAAAGAAACCATGAATGGAGTGACATCTTTTTCAGCCTTTTTGAGAGCCTTTAAAAGCAATAGCCGTACTTGCAAAACAAAAGACGGAGGTGAAAAAAAACCCCAAACATCTATGTACAGTACACAAAGCAAGAGGGTTTGGGAAAAAAAAAAAGGTGGTATCATTTTAAGAATGTCCATCCATCCATTATCTGATCCGCTTATCCTCACGAGGCTCGCGGGTATGCTTGGAGCCTATCCAGCTGTCTTCGGGCAGTAGGTGGAGGACACCCTGAACCGGTTGCCAGCCAATCACAGGTCACACGGAGACACACAATCATTCATGCTCACACTCACACCTAGGGACTATTTAGAGTGTTCCATTAACCTGCCTTGCATATTTTTGGAATGTGGGAGGAAACCGGAGTACCCGGAGAAAACTCACGCAGGCACGGGGAGAACATGCTAACTCTATACAGGAAGGCCGGAGCTGGAATCGAACACAGTACCTCTGCACTGTGAGGTCGACACGCTAACCACTGGACCAGCAGGCCGCCTAGAATGTGGTCCACATTTTCGTCGGTTGCCTTATTCATGGCAAATATGTTCCTCTGTAGCATTTTCAGGGGGGGGGGGGAAAGTGAATTACAAATCAAAGTCGTTATCCTGCGATTGGCTGGCAACCGGTTCAGGGTGTACCCCACCTACTGCCCGAAGACAGCTGGGATAGGCTCCAGCACACCCGCGACCCAAGCGGATCAGAAAATGGATGGAGTTATTACTATTGTTATTATTATTATTATTATGTTTTGGGAGAAATGCACACATGCCCTTTTGAGGAAAGTTCAGCTTTGTATGTCGCCGATATACCATGGGCACAAAGATATGACACATATTGGATCTGGATGGTGTTGACTCTTGACAGTGCCTTCTTATCAATTGCGCATGCTTAGATTAGCTCCACGAACGGTTGTGACATGGAAAGCTTGCGCTCTGCTCTGAAAGCCAACACTCGCGCTTTTCAGGTCGGAGACACAGCGGTGCGTTTGTTCTCATCGCTGCGGTAAGCCTAAGGTGTGCTCAAAAGAAGAATTGCAGCCTTGTGTGTGGATTCTGACTTGTGGCGGAACAGGACGTTTTACTCATTTTTTAATTGGCCAATTATGCACATGACCATACTTGACTGTTTATTTTTTTTACACTACAATCGGTAAGGCAGGCCATTTTCTCCTTTCTCATCGTGCCATACCCATCTCTATATTTTGGACTCCAAGTGCCGATGTTTCCCACAGCGGCACCTTCCTCCACAAAAAGCATGCCCATAACTGCCGTGTCAATTTCATCTGAATTGCTAGCAAAGTTTGATTAAAAAGTAAATTGTTTTCAGTGCCTGTCCCCTCCCGTGTGCAAATAGTGTGTATTGTGATTGGAAGACATGTCGCAAAGACTTACTTAACACTTCCACCGCACCTAAAAAATAAAATTCCCGGCATATTCCATATTCCAAGCTTTATTGTGACAACAGTGCATGTTACTGTATGCATAAATTTCCAACAACTTCCCTGTCAAAGCGCGCATCGGCCAATTTTTTTATTCCGTTGTTATTGCTGTAAATTTTTCCGAATGACGGAATTCCCTCGTGGCGAAGGAAGACTCGAAGCCCTGAACCTAAAGGGACCAGAACCGACTAAACTTGCCAATCTTGCCAAAATACAGTCAAGAAGTTCCCCCCTGCGCCTCCGACACACATCACTGTTACAAAATTGTCTGTTCTTACAGGGAACAACAACAAGAGGTACATTCCACATACTGTCCATAGGTAGAACTACAGTAGGTTGGACTGTAGGACGTATATTAAACCGTAAAAAGTGAAGAAGCAGATTGCTACAGAGAGGGGACACGGATAAAAATAAAGGAGGGAGTGGGGGTATTTTAAAAGAAGCACCATCACACCCATTCAATGGAATGCACCCGGATCACGATGGACATCGCTCGCGCATGTTTTGGCAACAGTGACCGCAAGCTTTGTTATTTCATCCACAGGCACCTATGAAATAAATAATGAAGTAAATAAAGTTACTAGCACGGCGGCGGTCTGGGTCTAGCTCGCTTAAAATCCCGGGGATGTATTTTTAAGCAGGTGAAACCTTCAGTGCAATTTTGATTGGAGTCGCAACATTGTGCAATTCTAATTCAAATTTTGAATGGCTGCAAAAACCAGGGGCCGAGTTGGCCACACAAAAAAAGTAGTTGGCACGCCCCACACGCACTGCGTGAGCGTTTAGTCAGCTTCCACTGCATCGGCCGATGTGCGGCAGGCATAAGGCTTTGTCAACGTCAATGTCGACACTGGATGACTCTGTTATGTGAGAAAAGCCTACCTAGTTGGATATGCGGACTGGAAACAAGCTTCAGATGTTCAACGGCCCGGCACAAGTGTGCACCCTCCTAAAGGAACAACATGAAAGAGGATATCAACAATGATGCATTTGAAAGAAAAATCCTAATGTGTGAGCGTCTTGATTGTGTGTGATTCTAACCTCTGGGTCTTTGTTCCACTGCACCACAAACTCCCAGCAGCAATGAGCGAAGAGCAAGTTTGGGGAGAGGGAGTGTGGAAAGCGCTTGCAAACAGTCATCAACACCTCTGCGTGAACATGCATATAAGATTGTATCCATGTCATAGGTACACGATGTCAGATCACCCTGATATGATTTCATCCTCACCTGCCGTTCCATCCGCGGTCTCTCGACTTTCTACCACTTTTACATCTTCTCCTGCACCCTCTTCATCCTTATCCTTGCTCTCCTGAAGGATTTCTTTGAGTTGCTCAGAGGCCAGGTTGTGCCTGAACACCCACTTGGAGACATTGTCAGTGATACCACCTTGAGAGACGACAATTGAGTTTCAGGCTTAAGAACGATCTAGCAAACACAATAAAGAAATCATGATTAGGACTTGAACCTGAGCCTCCCTCCAGCAGTGTTTTTATGGAACACAGCGCAGCGGGGCCTCCTGCTGCTCCGACAGTCGGTGGCACCAAGAGTAGCGTCTGCAGCACAAGTACATCCTCCAGCTGACGAACGCACACCACCCAGTGCTCCAGCTCCAAAGACACAGCTTCCCACTCTGACTGTAACTTTCATATGCCCACACAGAGAAAGCAACACCTGTAATTTACCTGCTTCAGACAAAACATGTTCTGACCATGTAGCGGTCAAATGGGGGTTTTTTTGGACTATTTAAAACAGTTTGTTGGCATATACTGTAAGAACGTCTCCATTGTGAGACAAATAAAGGTTTTCTTTTCTTATCTTCTAAGTGGATGGTTTTTGGTTAAAAAAAAATTACACCAAGGACTAAGAATTACAGCACATTAAACGCGCTGCAATACTCGACTTTTTCGGTCACTTCTCATGCAAAATGGGCCAGATATCAGTGGGGCGGAGCTAGGAGGCTTACAGCAAGGTGTACGACTAGTTGTTCTCAACCACACCGTCTGAAGAGATAGGCAAGCAGAAACACAGCAGCAAAAATGGACAGAAACTGACTCATGAAGGCAGCGCTTCAACACCACGCTGCCAAATTACAATTCAAGCAGTGTTAAGATCCGAGACCCAGCAGACACCCCCCCTGCACGCCGACTGCCAACTTGTCCGAATTTCTGACTTGTCGGTTATCAGAAGCTAACGTAGATTAAGATGTTGGGTATCATTGGAGATCTGCTTGATATTTTTGGGGGTTTGACATGATAAGACACAGCTTTCAACTGTAGCTCCCGCTTGGAAATGGCGGCAAAGTCATGGTGGAGAAACACAGTTGCTGACGCCGTTATGTAAATTAATAGCGGAAACTTAGAACAGCTCACTCACAAAGACAGTTTCGGAAAAATACCGTAGGCAAACAATTAAAATAAGTTCACTTTCCATAATATGAGAGTATTTTGGATTTTTATTTTTCCATTTATATCTTAAGATGAGTGGGGCTCAAAGGAATAAAGAAACACTTTCTTCAGTGATCCAAAACAGAGGCCCCTAGTGACAATTACCACTTTGGCTAATTCCAAGTGTGTGTGCATTCTACCTTGCTGTCTGCCCTGTTGGTGATGCTGGCCCTAGCGGCACGATGAGCAACAAAAGCAGCCAGCAGAGCGGCCGCAGAGTTGTGTGACTGCACCAAGATGTTGCGGCACTGCTGCCACCAAGGGGACACAGATTGGGGGTCCCATGACTCTTCGATGGCGCCTGTTGAAAAGGGGCAAAATGCAACCTTGTGTTTGATCACTCAACAGATAATTTATACATACCGTCCATGTTGCTGAGGAGAACCAGTAATTCGTGAAGGTTTCGAAGACATTCTGTCGGGGTCTGGAGCACCTCCTTTTCTCGTTGCAACCATACACTTAACAACAGAGACTTAAATGAGACAAAGGGAAAAGATTATGTTGCTGTTAACAGCCATCAAGAAGAAAATGCTATTTTTATCTGTGGTCTTACTAGTAGCTGCGTTGGGCCAATGGCAGCCTGTTGCAGTTTGTCACAGATCTTATGTGGTGGGCTTTTACCACACAGGCAACCCCAGAAGATGAAGCTCCCTGCAGAGAAAACATTTCCTGTTAAGTCAACCCTCATTCATGTTGTCCTTCATTAATGTTGGAAATTGTGTTGGGGTTACTGGCACATCTAGAAAGCTAATGCAAAGAGAAATGATAACTGTGTGTACCTAACTGGTTCCATTCTGGTTCAGAATGGTGGATAAGCTTTAACTGCCCATCCTCTGTGCATTCAATCTGCGAGAGGAAGGTTTGGGCGGGAAGAGGTGCGTCTGGTGCGTCTTGAACAAAAGAAACGCTGGGCCTCGAGTTGAGCTTGGTGTAACGTTGCAAGGTGGGACTCACACGTGCCAAATCACCCTCAGTGCCATCAAGGGAGTCCAGCTGAATGTGGGGTTTGTAGAGAAGGGTTCCAATATTTCAAATCATTATCTCACTTCTTCTCTGACTCAGCTTAATGACATTCAATTCAAAAGGCACATTTTGTTTTGGTGTGGCTGCGCGTGTGCACCTACAGCCTCGTTGCGATCCTCACTGTCGGCAGAAGAGTTCATGTGGTGGATGTCAGTATAAAGCTGAAGCAGTTTCAGCCGGGAGGAGCAGAGCTGCATTAACACTGGATCCACTTGGTCGGCGTCTGGTACAGAGACATTTTGGACATAGAGATATCAAAATTAAGATATGAGGAATACTCAAGCCAAAATGCTCTTTCAGATAAGCGGCTCCACCTTGCTGCTGCAGAGCGCTGAGTAAGGCGCATGTGATGTTCGTGAGACACAAGACAGGAATGCTCTTGTTGGACAGCAAAGACTCCAAAGCCTCCAAAGGAAGAAAAGAAAAAAAGACAAACCAAACTTAGAAATGTGTGTGACTTTGACGGCGAACGCGTGTTCTTATTTGTAAAGCTAAGTTGACAGCAGGGACGTGCGGCCACGGGAGGCAGACAACGAAATACGAAAAAAATATATATACCATATTTTTCCGCACTACAAGGCGCACCTTTGATGAATGGCCTATTTTAAAACTGTTTTCATATATAGGGCGCACCCGATTATAAGACGCATAGAATAGAAGCTACGATATTGGCTGTGGTTGCGTTATGCATCCGCTAGATGGAGCTATGCTAAAGGGAATCTAATACCATACAATACAATACAGCTTTATTTATATAGCGCTTTCACAACCGCTGCAGCTGTAACAAAGCACTGTGCAGGACATTTAAAATACAGTACTATGTCCAAGAAATTAGAATATGTATCCATATATAAGGTGCATTGGATTATAAGGTGCACTGACGGTTTTTGAGAAAATTTCATGTTTTTAGGTGTGCCTTATAGTGCGGAAAATAAGGTATACATTTTTAATTTATACTCATTCACTCGTCTGTGCTTCGTTAATTTTCATTTAGAATCCAATAATGCCCACTGTATAATGTATGTGGATACTTGTAATATGCATTCTGATTTTCGACTGTCAGTATGCATTTAATATTTCGACATATTTGGTTTGGCTGATCTCAGGAAACCAGATGAAGTGCGAGGTGAGGCAGACAGCATCCTGCCTCCACACTGTGACATTTTTAATTTATTATAATTCATTTACTCATAATCATAAACAATGAAGCCAATGTTTGTTTTTTGCGTGATATGACTGTACTTCTAAATGGAAGTACTTAGTTTTCAGAGAAGATACAAATTGACAAAATAAATGAAGTTAAAACTCCATAACTGAACAATGCAACAGTGCAATAAAATTTTCAAAATTCGTAGTGCAGAAAGACATTTCACTATATACAGGCATATTTTGTTCCATAATCTTTGGGGAGAAGCGTCCCCAAACAATGTTGCCATACATGGGAAAGCCCCTTTTTTTTAAGCAGACTCCACAGATAAACAATCTGTGTTAGAATTGTAAAAGTAGGGACCAACTTTGCTCATGATGTGTTTGAGGCTCCCACAGCAAAAGAAAAGAACACTTGCATTCATACTTATGCTAAAAGTGGAAACTTCGCTAAATCAGAATCCGTTATCTTAATTTGTTACCCCAGGATGATATTCTATCAGCTATGATTAATTCTGCATGTGGCATCGAAGAAAGGAACTTTAGAGACTGATTGAATGACTGATACAGAGAGCAAGATATTCATTTGGACATGTAATTTATCAAAGGAGACACAGTTTTTTTTTTTGGCCACGACATTCATCAAAGGAGAAGAATCTGTGCTTGGTGGTTGCGCCTTCTCGGCAGCGCGCGTGTACCAGAACTGATTTGTTTGGGAGGAATGTCGATGCCATCTGACTGTCATTGCTGGACAGCTCCGGGGCGCTTGTGTTTTTTGCACCTGAAACGGGCGGCATTTTTCACATCCCCGCTGTGTTCAGCGGGAATGTCGGTGCTGTTGGACAGTCTGCGGCTGGATGGATGGATGGCTTGTGGAGCCGACGATGAGAAGAAAGGAGCGTCAGCGCAAAGCGCCGATGCATATGTGGAACTGGGAGTCGCGGCTTGGAATTGAAGCGGATTTACATGGGATAGGAGATGTGAGCCAATCTCTTTTTCGTCAGTGGACGCTGCAGCTTCTTGTTTGCTTTCAAACTTAGCTTGTAGCAGACGCGTGCACATTTTCAGCATGACGTCTTTGATCCACTGGTGAAAGGACACTTTGATTCGCTTCTCTTTCATCTATAACTGCTTCAAACAACGTGTGTGCAGAAAAGTGGTTCAGATTGCACGACTGTCTGTGTCTTATGTGTTGTGTTGTATTATTTTGGCATTTTATGTTAACTGTTCTTTTGATGGCGGTGCGGGCACCTGCAGCGGCTCCTCTCTCTCCTGAGGAAAGAAATTTCATCTGTGCTGTATGTTGCAGATGTAGCACATTTGACAATAAAGTTGACTGCAACGTGAACTTGGTTTAATAACAGCTCATTCAATATCACCCATTGGGTTTATGTACAAATTGTGACACAATTAAGTTTAGGCTATTAACGCGAGTTGAATTCTCTTTTTTTTCTGTGAACTCTGAAACTCACTCAACCTCGTTCTACCACGTCCGACTACATTTCTCATTAACGCTGTGACTGCTGTGGCAAACTCTGTTGACAATATGCGAATCTCATTGGGCATACACCACAATCGCGGAACGACACGTTCGCCTTTTCCATTCACCGTTCCCTGAAATGCGCTTACGGTAGCCGTTGGGAACAGAGTATATCAACAAAGCTTCATCAGACCTGTTTTTGAATGGAGGACTGTTTGATATCCAGCAGCACGTCTTTGGCCTCACTCTCCAAAATATCTTAAAGGAGAAGAAAAATCATCATACTGAATGTCAGTGATTTTGTTAAATCCAACCAAAGACTAATGCTCAATTTAACCTAGTAGTCTCTTTGGTAGGATTATTTTAAAAGACAACATCAAGTTTATAAATTAAAATGGCTTTAACAAAGTATTAATTGCAGTTAAGACTCCTCAAACCAGTTACATGCTCTTGATACATACAATTGTCCCTCAATTAACACAAATAGTTCATAACTTTCATATAACCTATTTTTTTCTTATTTTTATTTTGAATATACACTACACCTAAAATCCAAAATAAACAGCAATTATAACTGTGCACAATTACAAAGTCAATAGAGAAGAAATAATTATTTTCCTATTTGTACTGTCAACGGTAAATACACAGTTGGGTCAAGAATAATCTCTCACCAGGCTCCATATCTCTGCTCTTGAGTATTGTTGTCAGTTTCTTAAACAAATGCATATCTTTGGCCCCTTCACTCTTCTTGTCGCTGAAATGAATCCAATGCATTCAAATCATTACAACAATCTTTCTATATCACTAAAATACCTGAAAGTGAATCTCGGGGGTCTCAAATCTTTGTCGTGGCCCACATAGGTTATCGGTTCTACTATCCCTCTTTATGACTGGGATCCCATATAAATGTATGCTTGTCTCATATTATCACATATGCACAACAAATTGTTGGACAACTAAATTTTGAAATCAGAAGCCGGTAAAAAGTTAGCCTGGCAAGCCACGTCCAGCCATTGACTAGTCCGCGGGCTAATGGACAATCGCGATCAACTGGTTGGGCACCTCTATTGTCATGTATACAGGCGATCCCCGCTTGACGAACTTTCGTATTGTGAACAACGGTACATACGAACATTTTTGCGGGTACAGGTATGTTGAAAAATGTTCTCGGACAGAGATGCTGTCAGTCCGATTTTGTATTGCGCGCCTTTTTCCGAGTACTGTAGTACTTCTTTCCGCCGCTAATACCGACGTGAGGCACTGTGAGAGGAGGAGGAGGAGGAGGAAACGCCTGTCCCCATGAAGAAGTTCGAGACGGAACTCTCTCCCCCTCCATCATCTCCTTAAGCCTTCGAGTACATCTTCCAAAAGTAAGTTAAACTTCATTTTATTATACTTATATAAACCTTAAACATACTTATATAAGCCTTAAACATACATTCCATACAAAATATAGCACTGAAGCAACTTACGTACGAATTCAGTCAACGAACGATCCTTCGGAACGTAACTCGTTCGTTAGCTGGGGAGCGTCTGTATATGTATTGACGTTAACCAGTGTGTACACATGTACTGTCGGTGAGTGGAGCAACCTGAGGGCCAGGTGGAAGGGAACATTCACAGTCCTTAGGGTTCCTGTGACGGGATCCAGCAAACACACTTGATGGATGTGGATCTTCCAGCCCTGACTGGTCACACTGTTCACCCCTAACAGACGGTAACCCGCATACAGCAACCTGGAGGTGAACACACACACACACACACACACACACACACACACACACACACGCACACACACACACACACACACACACACACACACACACACACACAAAAACCTAAGAAATCCAGAGTGGTATCATATATGCACTGGTGAAACACCAGGTAATTGACATAAAGCACTGGTTTTCTGTGTGCACCTGCAGTGTTTGCCGACATTGAATGCGCCCACTCGAGGTCCATATTGCATTGCCCATATCTCCAGGATCCCCCTGCGCGGGGCGTAAATAACCAGAAACAGTGCATGGCGCCTGGGGACGGAAGTTGAGAGGGAACTTTCCCGACTGACTTGCTCCTCTGGAACATGCAACCAACCCAGCTGCGCATCTCTGTAACCTTCAACAACATTGTCCAAGTCATGTCAAAATTCAGGTAAGTATATTTTGCCCTAGACACAACAGTTCCACCGCCCATGCTTGGCCCATCACGACCACAATGAACAAACGCTCTATTCCCCTCACCATCTCAAAAAGAGGACTAAGCTAGCCTAGTCATGCCCTTACATCATCAATTTGCACCATAATGCTTATATAATAACATTACTACATCAAAGAGCATATTACTTGCTTTTTTTTAATTAATAAACACAAGCAAGAGAAAATGAGGATAAGGCATCGATAAAGTTGACCCCACTTTGCACTAAAGATGCCATTTACAAAGCATCTTTTTAAGCATAAGCAACAGTATTGACTTCACAGCACCATTGTTGTGGCCTGCATATTATTCTCCCCCTGCTTTCCCTTTACCTTTCCACATACGAATTGCAATCCCTCTGTTTAGGTCCAGCAGCGTGACTCGACCAAAGTCGTCAGTTACTCCGGCTAGCGTGTTACAAGGGGACAGGCAAATGGACTCGCCATGGCGGCGAGAGTCCGGGAGACCAAATCTGAATGAGAGAGGTCAGTTTGAAAACTGTACACCAACAAGCCTCATTTTATAACATTTACAAAACAATACATTTAATTACAATATTTATCATGGCCAAAACAGTGCTGTTTTTTATTTCATTTGAGGTTACACAAGAGTGTAACCTCAACATATAAGTTGGGTCACTTGAGAAACAAGTGACCCAACTTATATGTTTTTCGACTTATGAGCTGTCATTCAGCTGATTTTTTTTTTTTTTTTACATTGATTTACTAGCTCAAACTTGAGACACAATTGCTGTACAATACTATGGAGGTATTTTTTTCTCATTAAAGTAAATAATGAGTCTGGAAACGATTAATGGTATTTACAATCATTCCAGTCAAAAAAGATGATTTGAGAAGTGAGTCTTTTGAGTTACAAGCATGTTCACAGAACTAATTAAATCCGAATCTCAAGGAACCGATGTATTTTGAAAGGCACCTGATCCCCAAGGGTGTGGCAGGTTCAACCTTGGGCTTGTGTTTCTGGACTGTCTCATCTTCATTCTTATGCTTATTCCATCCTAGCCATCCACTGAAAGAGGAGCGTAGAGACGAGACAAAAAGTCAAAAAAGGAGAGTGAATGAAGCCGCACACAAAATAGTAAAATGGGACAAAAGAGGAAGGATTGCTTGTGTTCGAGTATTGTCATTAGCTGGGATCATTAGTAAAGGTTATAATAATCATTCAGACAATATTTTCACCAGTTAAGCTCTTATGTTTTTATTTCCATTTTGCACATGCATTCAAAAGCTTGCACACCTGGCAGCACTGAAGAGGGCTGATGTCAGTTTACTGGCCACAGCGAGAGCCACGTGAGAAAGAAGAGGCTGGGTGCTTCCCTGAGAACACACACTGATGAGTATTCATGCCTCTCATTTACCCCAGGCTGGAAATATCTTTTTACAAGTAATGTAATGGACTCACCTCGACAGCATAGTAAAAGCCAGTGTATGGGCCCCCTCCGACAGTCACGTACTGGCTCATGGCAGGGGGGCTGCCTTTTACTGAAGCATTGAACCCCCCCAAAATAGAGGCATTCTTCATCTGATCAAACACATTTAGCGTCATGACACCTACAAGAGAGAGAGAGAGAGACAGAGATAAAGAAGGATTTGTGTGTGTGTGTGTGTGTGTGTGTGTGGGTGTGTGTGTGTGTGTGGGTGTGTGTGTGTGTGTGGGTGTGTGTGTGTGTGTGGGTGTGTGTGTGTGTGTGGGTGTGTGTGTGTGTGTGGGTGTGTGTGTGTGTGTGTTAGAGGAATTATGAGCAAAATTGTATCATGTGTAAAGTTTCATTTAATTGGGGCACGTCTAAACGTTGGGGTGCGTATCCGGCACCCCCAAATGCGTGTGCACAAAGGTGCTGGCCACCTGGGCGGAGGGCTGTTGAAGTCCACAATTAGCACGTCTATGCAGGTGGGCGATCAGAGGAGAGAGGGCTAGATTCGGTCACAAAGGGGGAATGAATAATTCGGGAACAGCGGTTGAACAACAAAAGACGATTTGAGAACACCCGTCGCGCCCAGGCGACATTGGCCGTCCGGAAAGTCTGCAACATGTTGATTCAGTGTAGACCAGACAGAAAGGCGCCAATGTACCGGTGGTTCAAAGCTTAAACCCAGGTAACCAATCACTACAGAGGGGCCGGACCGGGGGTGCGGTATGCAAATATCGGGGGCAGTGTTTTCCTTGTATGTTACAATAAAAGTCTGAATTGGCGGGAAGGGAGCTCGAGCATGATCGCGGAGCAACTAAACCGTCGTTCGCTCTCAGAGATCCGCTTCCGTCGATATTGAAGACAATTTTTCCTGTGTGCCGAGTCATTTCTTTCACTTTGGCCGAGAAAAACTGACATTTCTGTGGAAAAAAAAAACCTCAAGAGACATACTGTGTGATGAGCTTATGACGGCCGGCATGTACATGTATCTTAAACACATTCTTCAGAAACAAAGACTGTATTTTAATCTCTCCAGATCCCAAATAACAAAAATGGATACCACATACACGATAGGGAAAAGTACAAACAGAGTGGAACCAGAAGGAATAATTAATTGCACCTCGAGATGGATACCCTCAAAGCTACCCAATATTTGAAATTGTTGTGTTGACCAACAAGCTCACTCACGACAGTTTGTCCATGAATTTGACAGCTGTCTAAATCCCTACCCGCAACAACATTTCATAACCAAGAGCAGTTACACGTACCTTTGGAAAAAACTCACAAAATGAAGAAATTATTTTCTCTCAATTTACTCGCAGGCATACTAAGTGTGAAATATTTTGCTGAAAACAAACACAGGAAATAGAGAGACCTTAAATCAGGGGTGCCCAAACTTTTTGGACCGAAGATCTACTTTTCGTTCAACCAACCTCCCGGGATCGGCCCTTACCGCGCACGCACGCGCACGCACGCGCACACACACACACGCACACACACGCGCACGCGCACGCACGCACGCACGCACACACACACACAAACACACACACACACACACACACACACACACACAAACACACACACAC